AATGCCGATTACCTCCATACCAGGATGATGCAGATGAGGATTGGTCCCAGAGGACCCATTCGAAGCATTCAAAGAAATGAGGGAAAGAAAAGTGTTTGATGTGTCTGAGATGTATACAATAGCAGACGTTTGGGGTTGGACATGGGAAAAGGATTTAAGAACAGAACTCCTAGGAAATGGTCACAAGAGTGGGAAGTCGAGTTGGCAATTGTGCTAATGACAAAGGCAAGAGTTCCTTCAAGCCCCTAAAGCATTATTACACAACTTTTTAATGATCCATCATGTTAATAATAATAATAATACATGATAATGGATTTGTGTAGGTGATTGAACTGGGTGGAATTCCAACAATTGGTGATTGTGCAGTGATATTACGAGCTGCTTTAAGAGCTCCCATGCCTTCAGCCTTCTTGAAGATCTTGCAGACGACACACAGTCTTGGCTACTCTTTTGGCAGGTAACTCAGTTACCACCTCTCTTTGGGTTTAGTCTGTTAGAGAAGCTAGTCTAAGGCGTTCAATATGACTAAACTTGACTATAAACAATGACATTTGAATACCCGTGGTCTTCTGTTGCAGCCCATTGTACGATGAGATCATCACATTGTGTTTAGACATTGGAGAACTTGATGCAGCCATTGCCATAGTTGCAGATATGGAAACCACAGGGATCACTGTCCCTGATCAAACCCTTGACAAGGTCATATCTGCTAGACAATCCAATGAGAATCCGCGGTCTGAGCCTGAAGAGCCACCATCAACAGTAAGCTCTTAGTTATCATATCTTCCTTCTTCTGCTTTACTGTGAAGCTCTCTAAGAAACAGAAATCGGAAGAAGCAGCTGAATCCGTCTTAGTTATAAAAGTTTTGTTCATTATCTGCAAATAATTCCATAGAGGGTTTAATTTTAAGTACAAGTCATGTAGTTCCCAGTGTAGAACAATTTTTACTAGTGTTGCACCAGGTCCCTCCAGTTTGATACTTAATTCTTTAGTGTTGAATCTCTCTATATAAGAAACGCAAATAGCAAGAAGCAGCTGAATTGGTCTTTAGTAACAAAAGCTTTGTTCACGAAAAAGATAGGAAGAAACAAATTAATGATAGTAATCTTATTCAATGAGAAAAAGAGTGAGTAAACGAAAGAGGCTTAATTAGGCTTCAAAAATCGTTTTCTTCTTCAGACCCACGCGGACTCGTTTTCTCCATTTATTTTCCTCCTGCTTGGTTCGCTTTATAAAGGCGGCAAGTCTCAACATGTTTTGATCATATTGACGCTTTTCTAGAATGGTTTTTCGTTTCCTTTTGCCTCCGGGAGGTTGTTTGATTTGCACTGATCTTGGAACATAAGGGCACAAATGTGGCCTTCGTGCCCCACAGTTTATGTCGGCTACAGGTACTCCGAGATCCAATTCTATAAAGTATCCGGCCTCTCCAATGATGTGGGCTGTGTGGCGATTCAAGTCATCAAAACCCATGGAGACATTCTTCTCCTCGTCAACAAAGAAACTCTCATGTGTAAATGCAATCGGCCTGTCAGCCAATGGTCCTGTATCCATTTCCAAAATCTTGCTCCATGACACTTTTTCATACTCAATCTTAGTCGTAATCCATATCTCAAACTCATATGGATGGGATTCGTTGTGGGTAAGTAAAGCCGCAAGCTTCTCTTCTCTAACACAAGATAAAGTCACATAGTCATGAAGCCCAGCGCAAAACGGTAGACGCAGAAGCGGCCCAACTCTCTCACTTGTGAAATCAAAACAGATTATGTGATCGTCGAGTTTGTATCCTGAGTTACTTTTTGTAGCACAAAAGTAGGTATTTCCCTTGAGAGAAACACCATGCTGATAACACGATATCCTCCAATATGGGGGGGACGTCAAGAGTTGTCCATAAATAGGTTTCAATATCGTAGATTTCATACCATGAAAACCGGTTTTCGGGTGCATGGTTCACGGCCAAATAGATGTAATCATCTATAAGCCTCAAGACTTTGTGGCTTCGACAAGAGTTGTTCTTGTTCACGTATCCTAGAGCGTACCTGTAGCTGTCCACATCCCGGCCTACGCGGTGAGAATATCTGGGTTCGATCCACCTTGTTTGTCCCAAATACGGATTCCAAACCACAAGCTTAAAATTATACTCTTTCAATACGCATAACAATAAACCCTCACAGGAAAAGACTTGAGATATCTTGACTTGTTCGTTTAAGCAAGTAAGTTTGCCTTTATGCTCTGCAGATGAATCACCGTTTAAGACGAAGC